CGTGATGCATGAAGTTGAAAGGGGTGCTGTCTAGATCTAGATAAGTGAAGGAGGCGACTATTCTTCGAATTTTTTCCATTGATAGTAGTGGGGGATTGGTGCTTGTTGGTGGGTGTCATATCTTCAACAGCTGTGTCTTTTCTCTATGTTCAGTTGAAATCGTGTCATTTCTGTACTGCTAACTTGTTGGTTTTCGCCTGCAGATCTTCTCCTTGGACTTTGCAAGACATTAGACATAAATCGTATGCGAATTCCATATCGCCTTGTCTTACACACCTATCTTCATTTCAAAGGCTTCACTGAGTTGTTTCTTTTTTTCTGTTGTGATACACAAATTAATCTAACGTAGAGAAATCAAAAGAAAACCAGCATTTTGTCTTTACACTCTTCTCTCCTCTTTGTTTTGTTTTTGATAACCAAGGCAAAAGGAGGGACTGTAAATACTTATTTCAACATAAAGACCTAGTTTCAGTTCATGATTAACCAAAACTTCTGTGTGTCGACAAGTTGCAGAAGGTTTGCATGAACTTTGTTGAACAACCCTCAAAATTATTGTCGGAATTAATCCAGTGACAAAAGTTAATCAAATATTCCACAGTAGAAATTTCTGCAGGCCTTTTGTTGACCTTAATGCCAACAATTTGCACTGTCCAACTACGGCTAATGCATCTTGTATACCACAAGAGTAGATGAACTGATAAGTTCACATAAAGATAGCCAGACGTCAGAGCTTATCTTTTACACAAAAAAAGAGAACATCTTTCTAACAGTTAAAATCAACTGGAGTTTTGTGGCGAAGAACGTTCTATTAGCTGATCTACACAAAAAAAAACTTGATACAATATGGCACCAAGAAGATGTGCCACAAAATAATAATAAAAGTAAAAATATAGGTGGAGAACGGATAAAGAACTTCATCTGGAAGGAAAACAGTCATGCTTAACAAGTTCAAACAACATTCGTCAACTATCATCGGGAAGGGAAAGAAGAAGGAAATCGCAGCACGTTTGCCATTGATTACGATTCTTGGCCATATCCAATAACGTTTCGAGCCATCGATTTGAGCTATCTTTCGAGCCCTAACCAGGAAGTTGTGAGGCCCCGACCAAAACTAACCTAGCACAAAAATCCTTCATCCCACGACGCCACGTCATAGACTGACCATCTCTCCACCTTTTCCATCCCATCACAGGGCTAGCGAACAGATACCTGTACGGGAGCCTCTGGGATGACATTTACAGCATATGTCCAAGCCACTGAAGCCGGTATTTACAAATGGCGACACTCAACGAATGGTAATCTCCACTGTGCTCAGACACACGCCGCCGGACTCCAGAATTACTCACGCAATGAAGCCATTCATCAAACGCAAGCAATCCTGAGGAAACAGCGATGATCGAATACGCAGAGTAGCCACACATCCTCAGCTTAAAGAGGCCAGGTTTCACAGGTGTAGAGCAAAACAACCCGCACCGAAGCATTGTATACCCGACCTTTTACAGCCAAGCTAACGTCGCGACGGTGCTATAAATGGCTCAAGTTAACGCATACCACTCTAGCGTTCATGATACGGCTGGAAATCCCATCCACCACCCCACCGCCAGCACTCACACAACTACTCAGATACACGAACTTACCAATGACTTCAAGAGGTTTACCTGCAAGAGTAGGTGGAAATACAGGCTCTTGCCAATCTTATTACAGTACTCTTCACTTGGACGCTACAAAACATACACCATACTTACAGACACTAATCGCCAACTGATTAAGTACGATTTTGGCAGCCTGCATGCTATCGTACAATAAGACAACATAGTCTGCATACTCAGGATCGAAAGGTCTCTCTCTAGGATGAATGTCTATACCACCTTCACGCATATCAAAATCCTGATTATCTTTAAATCCTCGATTGATGGAGATGGTGAGTAACTGTCTGTCTGTTTTCGACATAGAACTTTCCACATATGTGCGGCAGTTCAAGTCGCCACACTCCAAACAGCACACAAAGCAAGAGAAAAAAGGTAGAAGAAATCCATAATAGAGAAAGTAAACAGAGGTGTCAGACAAAGGAATGGCAATAACGAAGAACAACATAGTTTCATTGGAAATCATAAGTCACAAGGAGTGGATGCATCATCGCCAGCCATTGAGAACGATTTTCAGCCATATCACCAATTTTTTCCAACCACTGGTTTTTACTGTCCAGAAGACCCCAACCAGACAGCAGTCTACATCCTCCTACATGGCTGGCTGGCTTAAACTTGCTGTCATGGATTTCATACACTGATGAGGCAAAGTTTTGGTTTGACCACCGCTAGCTCTTTTCCAGCTAACATTAATCGTCTGTCGAGGAAGGCGATGACTAGGCTAGGCATACGTAACACATATCCTAACCATCTCAGTCGGTGTAATTTCACAGCCTCGTCGATTGATTTCCCCTCCTTACCTAGCACTCGACCAAGGCCTAACCTCAGTATGGCTCACCTTATTATACCACTTCACACGGGAGATAGACAGCAGGCACCTATGATCGAAGACAGCTAATCTTTTCATGTCTTCTATTCTCAATGGCCAGGTCTCACCCACAGTGAGAAAGGAAGACGGAGCAGACTGATGAGCAGTACACCCGACCTTTGGATGGTAGCCAGCCGGATATCACGTCTACGTCAGATACAGCGTAAACTGGCACATGCGAAACTAGCCCTCTGTATCCATACTGAGATTTCTTCAGAGATCAACCCGTTGGCACTGGCTGATGGTACTTCCAAAATAAGTGAAGCGGTCAACATGCTCTACCACTTCACTTCCTATTTTTAAACTAGGCGTCGATGTAGTTCAGTCCTGTAACATCATCTTGCATTTGGCGGGAGCAAATCGCATGCCAAACATTCGTAGATTGCGGCTCAAGGTGTTCAGAAGACTGTGCATTTTGTCAGCGTCCTCGCCTAGAAGGACTATATCGTCTGCATATTCTAAGTCAACAAGATTATTCCCTTATGGTAGCAAGTCAATTCCTGTGTAGCTGAAGTGAGTTAGGGTTAAGTCCATCAGTACATCTATGATGAAATTGAATAGAAATGGGGATAATAGGCATCCCTCGCTGACGGACACTACTAGTGGTCACCAGTTCAGATGACAACTCGCTGTAAGCCCTCGCCTGTCTGCATGAGTTCGAGTAGAGTGCCTTGATCAGTGGGCGATGCATTTTCTCGGCATTCTTTTTACAGCCAAGTATCGCCAGAGTGCCTCTCGGTCAACAGAATCGAATTTCGCCTTTAGGTCAAGAAATATAATGATTGTTGGACTCTGGTAAGAATGCCTATGTTCTAGAATCTGTAGAAGGATGAAGATATGATCGATATACCCTCTTCCTGGTCTAAAGCCTGCCTGGCTCTCTCGTGTTTGTGCCTCCCGAGCACCACTTAGTCTACACGTTATTATTGAGCCTAGGACTTTAGATACTATATTCGTCAAGCTAATCCCTCTGTGATTATCACAGGAAGACTTGTCTCCCTTCTTGTATATGGGGATAATCAGTGACTTACACCAACCCGATGGGACTTCTTCTGATTTCCAGACGCTGCCTAGAACCTCAGTTAATGCAGACAGTAAACTGTCTCCACCGTACTTAAATACCTCTGGAGTCATTCCATCAGGTCCTGCTGCTTTTCTTTGTTTCAGACTAGTGACAGATTTAGTAACCTCAGTTAGGGACGGAGAACCTGTGTCTATATCCCATTCAGGGAGGTGTTGGATGTTCGGCAGGTTGAGCTTGGCTGTAGGCCAATTAAATTGCTCCTCACAGTGCTCTTTCCAGCGTTCCAGTCGTCTATCCTGGGAGCTAATTATGGTGCCATTCTTCTCAGAGATTGTTTCACTTATCATTTGCCCTGAACCACCTGTTTCCCTGATAAGCCTAAATAGTTGTCTGGTATTGCTAATAGCCGTTGCCTTCTCCAACTGTTTCGCTCTTGTCGCCTACCACTGTTTACAGTCGTTGCGAAGACTTCTTGTTAGTTTTTGTTTGAGTAGCTTTCGCTCCTCATCAAAATCGGAGCTCGCCGGAATCAGTCTTCTTGTGTTGTTTATCAAAACCATCTTCAAATTAAATATATTAATCAAGAGTGGCTGTGAAGCAAACAGCCCCACTGGGAAAGTTTTAGTCACGGTGCTATAGTTAGAATTTTACCCTTAGCAGGTATTGTCGTAGGGTCTTCATAAACTCATCTGAGTTTTAGTTTACGACAACTTCATGAAAAACTAATAGACCACAGCCTCGCAGTACTTGGCATCGCCTAATACAGCTCAAGTACATCCATAATAATAATAATAACAATAATAATAATAGACAAAACAAGCATAAACTAGTTAAGATGACTGTGAATTTGTGGTATACTTTAAAACATTTAGTTCCCTTTATGAATTTAGATAAAACAATGAGAAGACGTAATTTGTCAGAGCATATTCCTAAATGGCTCCAGAAACAAATAGAATCTTCAGAACCTATTAATGGTGAGAACAGGAGACCTAGCTCTTCTATTGCGAAACATATTATAGAGACAGCAGGATATACAATTGACGTTAACACATCTTTTAAACCTATCGATTCATAAAACGTGTTTGGGACGTATCCTAAAGTTTATGGAAGCTCTAGCTAGCAATTAGAAAGTTTAAGCCACCTTTATGCGTTCAAAAACAATTCGTCATCACAATAAACCTTCTTTGGTAAATTTTGTTTTGATACACCAGCTAGGGTAGATGTACTTTTACCTCTGCTATTTGGTTTAATGATCTTCATTGTTATGTTGACCTTCAATATGTCCTTTTAACTTGACCTAAGTCTATTTTCTCTTTATTAATTTTACAAGTATATTCCTATGACAAGTCCATGTGCGCTGGGTCAGATTGTTCGAAATGAGTTGCGCAAGTATATAAATAAATTTTACAAAAAAGAAAATTTAAAGCATTGAATGAAGGAATCAAAACTATAGCCTACCTACCTGAGCTTTAGCAGCTTCCCATCGAGTAAATCCACTTCGTAATAAAATAACAAAATCAGCCATCTCATGAGGAACTTCATGTACTAGTATGCAGGTGGTTGTCAGAATACCCAGCTAGAATAAGACAGTGTTGATAAACATCAAAAGACAAAATTGACTGCATAGCAAAGATATGATTTACACAAACAAGTACTAAGTGATACTGTACACCATAGTTAGTAAAGCCTTATACCCCCATCCGCCATAGTACGAGGATGCATATTCTACTCAGCTACTCATAAGCATACTTACTTTTAACAAGTCTCATACAAATAAAGTATAATTATATTTTAATAGTTTACACACAATGATAAGTTTTGTTATTGGTAACTTTTTACTGATATTAAGTCTCATACATTTTCTAAATTTTGATGTGGTTTTGTTCTCTGAGCTGGATGGTTAGTTTGCGAAGCTTTCATCACCTTACTGGGTGACATCTTCAGCGCATACTTCAATTTGAAGTGAGCTTTTAGATTTCTCCACGAGTTTATTAATCATCTCTCCTGGTGACCTTGGACGTGATTGGTTGTTTGTGTGTGTTTTCACACCTTCTAGGTTACTTGTATTGGAACCGGTTGTTTCTTTGACTTGAACTTTGACCCAGTTCAAGTCAAAGAAACAACCGGTTCCAATACAAGTAACCTAGAAGGTGTGAAAACACACACAAACAACCAATCACGTCCAAGGTCACCAGGAGAGATGATTAATAAACTCGTGGAGAAATCTAAAAGCTCACTTCAAATTGAAGTATGCGCTGAAGATGTCACCCAGTAAGGTGATGAAAGCTTCGCAAACTAACCATCCAGCTCAGAGAACAAAACCACATCAAAATCATCCACCTGAGCTCCAAATCTTCTCTATCATATCTATTTTCTAAATTAAATCAGTTCAAAAAAACTTGGTGAACAAATAACTACAAAGGTGACTGACTGGACGATCACAGTAGAACCACACACAGTAGTGTACCAGTTCAAGTTGTTCTCCTTCAAAAAAGGTCCAAAAACAAAAATGGGGAGCAAACATGCAATGTAAAAGTGTTTGCAAAACGATAATTAACTGAAGACTAACAAAGCCTGTCAAGATTTAAGGGATGACAGGGAGTGAATACATCTAACCCTAATCAATACTCGGAGCTGCCATACATCAACTGAAAAGTGAAACAGAAAGAATCGCTGCACAGTATCGCAACTATGTCTAAGATTAAAACAAGTTGGCAAAGGGAATCTTGTGTATGTATGCTAAGATTTCATCAGCAGTAAATGCATTTCCATCTCTTATGTAACAGGCGCGAAGGGCATGTTTAAGAGACTCCAAATCATCTGATTATTGTATATTGATGAGACATTTCCAAGGTACGAACTTAATTTGTAAAACATCGAAATCAATCAACATCACATATATCAGTACGCCTAAAGTGTAAAGACGATGTTAGTGTACATCAATGACAGACAATACTGCAGACGACAGCTCTCCGTAAGGCCTTGCTTAGCAGCATGATTTTTGAGATTGTCGTAATGAGCATACTGTGTTTCGGTATTCTGACGACACTACTGCAAACGTTTTCGAACAACGGACTAGAATGCAAAGCAGACGAAGATAAGCGTTCAATCACATTGACTAGTTGGTGAGATTTATAACTTAAACTAACTGGCTGGAAATGTTTTTTTTAAAGTAGTTCTGTTACCTATAAATTTTGAAGCGCGTAGTTGGTTACAGCAAAAAACAACATTTGAGACAGATATGTAATAATGGAAGCTTGTTTTTTATGAGGCTTTCCTAACAAATCAATTTAGCGGCGAGAATAAGAAACATTTAAAACCGCAATCGTTCATGACCAGGAAAATTTGGTACTGTGCTCAGCCTTACAGCAAGCAAATATAGCATATATTCGTGCAAAAGTCACGTCAAATGTTAAATAAGGAACTTGTGCAGCATCACTTTGAAATGTTATAGAAAGTAATAACTGAAAATATGCTTAATATAAGAACTCCTTAGAGAATGAAGCTAGTAATTACACATAAGGTAGAGGTGTGGTCATGAAAAAAGACACAACAACAGTAAAGATCTGAACCAATCAGTTAGAAACGTGTTATGAGGGTAAAAGCCTACTTAGCTGTTATCAAGGATGCATTTATATATTTATCAAGGTAAATTAAAGCATTTAAAGCAGTAACATGTGGCTAACACCAGATAAAAGATTTCTAGGTTTTGAACTCCGTATACCATTCAGCCACTGGGACCCGATTCAATGGCCAACTCATGAAGTCTAACTTCTGCCAATTCGTGATTTTAGCGCGACCTCCAACCACTGTCATCGGCGGGAAATCTATCCTTACACTTGAGTGCATGAACCTCACTGACCACGACTTCTCACTACAACTCCATGAAACTCAGTCCTGTAGCAAGTCACTAGCGAGCATCAGATTAATTCCCAAGATTTGATTTGTAAGGATTCGATTTGTTGTGCCAAAATCACGAATTGGTAGAAGTCAGAATTCATGGACCATTGAATCGGGTCCCAGTGGGTGCGTCCTGCCGATAAGTTCCAAACTAGAACAAAACCGCTGTCCTGCAGTACTCCCCCCTGGTTTTCAATGGTTCTCTAACTGATATCAATCCGTGGTTAAACTGGAAAAGACTTCTATGATTTGTAAACACACACATAACACTAGTTAGCTTACAATCTTTATGAGAATTATCAGTCCTATAGAAGATACCATCTACACAAAAAATCAGCATGTTCATTACTTAGCTTAGTAATGATATTGTAAAGTCTAATGACAGATTCTTGAAATAAGTGTGTATAAAAACTAAAATAGGACTGAAATAACAGAAAAGATTTGTAGCTCAGGTGGATCGTTTTTGTGTTCTCTGAGCTGGAAGATCTAATCGCGGATCTTTGATTGTCCTTTAAGACAAAATCTTTGGAGAGCAGTCTCGTAACACTGCTAAACTGAAAATTCTAGTAAGTCAGAAAATAGGCAATAACCACTTTTCATTTTCATCTAAGCAATACATAAAATCAATAAGCTTTCGTGAATTAACTTACTCGAAGTGACACTAGATAGCTTCCTGCAATAGCCACACCGTGAGTAAAATTATCAATCACATTGGCAACGAGATTCAAATAACCTTCAACCTGCAAGACAGAGATACTTTATACATTAGAAACTCACTTATAGGTAAAAAGTATTATTTCTACGAGTGACAAAAACCTCTACATTAAAACTCTAGCAATGGGTAACGTTAGAGTAAAAAGAAAATTCCCAATTTTGGAAGGCATAGTAAAACAATAAGATAAAATACTCAAAAGCGAGAGTTTTGTTTGGTAAACTATGAGACGCTTTTCTATGAGCTAATAAGTGTTACAAGACATATTCCGCTACAGCCCTAATATGACCAGAAGTTTATGTTGCCCAAAAAATAAATCACCTAAAAATGTCCTTAAATTTCAGGAGTATGATAAAGAATTAATAATACATAACTGATTACTGTCAGACAGTAACTATCCAAATTCTGCAAAGGAACGGATTAAATGATTAAATTTCGCAGAGTTATCAAAATATGATAGGAAAATGGGAAGTTCGTCACATAAGTATTGGGACTTGGTAAAAAGTCATACTAACTCATTAGCAAAACGAAAGACGGATGTTCGAGATATTATGAAGCCGGAATATTATGTAAGGTGAAGGGCTTTGGGCGATCACTTAAGTCTCCCACAGATTTACTGCGTCGGGATACTCATAATATCTTCTGAAACATCCATATAGGCACCAGTAAAGGAGTTTGACAGAAACACTTGTTAAAGAAACGCTTGGTTTTGACATTGGATACACCCGTGTGAAATGCTTCATGGATTAACCCAGAAGAAATTCCATTTGTTCATTATTCCGTAGCAATTTATTGAAGCCTGTTATAATTCGTCAGTTATAATATTCTGTCACGGAATGCGTTGGATAAACATTTCAGCTTTGTAATACCCCTAGTAATCTCTTGCTTGAAACTATCATAACAAAGTGTTCATCCGGACAGTCTGCTAACCCATATTTCTAGGCACAAGTATACTGTTGTGCAATTACAAGTTTTCCAACACTCTGTCTTATTGTGAGATTTACAAGCAAATTGAGGCAGCTAAATAATGAAACTTGGGCGCTGATAGAGTAGTTCTGAAAAACACGTGCAAGTAACCGCCGCCTATGACCAGGACTTCGTTAATAGCAATATGTGCAAACAGCCGGCTGGCTGGTTGGTTTAAACGTTGAACTTTGCAAAGATGTGCAGCAGTTCGAGTTGCTTACAAACATCATCTCACTTAAATTGGTTTCAAAAAAATTCATTGGAAGTATGAAACTTCAAAACCTCACTCTGATATATGAAAGTGGCGAAAAATTATAGAAATGGAGAGACTATGATTTTACGTAATGTCCTGTGTGGTCTACATTTCAAAGTGATTCCGTCTCACTAATAAGTAGATGCGTTTTCGCCAAAACTTTTTAAAAATAATATTATCGTAACATATGGGATGGTGAGGCTGTTTAATCCTAAACGATCACAGTGCGTATAGTGTACTACGAAGTGTACTATGGATAGTTATATAGTATATTCCAAAAGCCTATATCATAAATGTCACATGCATGGCGTACATAGGACAGGAAGAAATTTACTCCTAGTTCCGAAATAGGCAGCTAAATTACTCTTTAGTGCTCTAAGGGATAATACAAAACCACCAACTTAGCTAAATACCATCCTGTGAATGTATGTGTAGAGTGAACAAAAAATTACATACAACTCAGTTAACGCGACATAAATACACAGAAATACAAAAGCTACCTCTTTGTCTGAAGACTCATGTACACATAATTTCTCAATGATAAAAAATAAGAGCAGTCCAGTGAGCATCCAAAGTCCTGAATTCTGAAAAGAAGCAATATCACCTGTGTACTGTGAAGACCAACAATTTATTCTGATTTACTGTGGATCCAAGACTCTGGTAAAAGATGTATGAATACTTCTCCTAATAGACTTCCTGTTGCATAGCTAAGCCATCTGTTGAGAGATATAATATCTATTTGCTGAATGATTATTTATAAAAATTACCTTTTTTTGAACATAAACCATTAACTGGAAGAAACAGAAGAGGAACTACGCCGCTAAGTCCGACAATAAATGCGGAGATAATACATAGCAGTCCTCTCCCCCAGCACATAAGGCTAGGGGATAATAGGATCTCGAGCATTTTCTTAGTTTTGTGCGAAAACTCAGTCGCATTCGAAAGTGTCACTGACAATAAGAGTACCGCAAGTTGGCTTGCATAAACAAACCGACTAGCGAGATATCATCACTTATCGGTCATTTAATTGGAAATTAGCACTAATAATGCCGCCTTTCTATACCTAAAGTGTTATATATTTATAACCAGCCCACATGAATCCGTTGTATACTTCATACTCTGTCCATGTTAGCGCGGTGGAGTTCTCCGTGTTTTCACATTCCCCATGGGAACTACAACACGAAATAAGGCGTTGGTTCATTTTCGGAGGCTTTTGTTTCTCCTGGGACAGTTGAGCTGTTAAAGAAGCCAGTAGTTCTTCTGGATAACTGGACGAGAGTCGGAGACAAAGAGGAAACATTATTCGAGATAGAGGAGAATTTAATAAGAAATGTCTTGGAAATAGAATAAGATCAACTTGTAGAAGTGAATGGTGATTCACATTAGCCACCCACTCACTAGTGGATTTTGTGCTGTTAGATTGTAGATATTTCCCTTCGTAATCAGCAGTATAAATATACTGTAGCCCCATTTTGGGATACACGCATCTGCAAATGTAAGCCGGAAAATCTACACATAGCGACTCATCCTGCAGCGGACTTCGGAAAAAGGTAGGAGTTTTTATTCATAGAAAACTGTTTTAAGTTCACCATGACGCAGGTCACATAAAACAAACCTCAAGTGGCGTTATTCTGGAGCATGTTTCCATGCGGAACCAACCATGGGAAGTTGACAGGAAAGGAGCAAAAACTACTCAGTCGATTCTCTAAATGCACAGAGTAATTGTTTCCTCTCTCAGTGAAGATGGCATTCCCTAGTAGATTTCTTCACCCTATCTAGATTCTTTTCTCAGGTAACAACTTTGGCCAAGAAAATGTCTTTTCTTATACCGTGTATTTAAACCCACCCGAAAAAATTTTGAATTCACCAAATTCACCCCATAAGTGGTAGATGCCTGTGAATTTACTGCAAGCCTAGAGGCAGAAAAATTACTGTCTACGTGGATCCTAAAAGACGTTCGTCTATATGCCATCTGCTGAGTGAATCAGTGAAGATATGGAAAAACCTAAACGACTGTTGCAATCCTTCCTCGATCTTCAGTAACATGCCTGCTGGCTGAAGTTCGAGAAAGAAAATAGCTGGCCTTATAATAAGTTTTAAAGTCCTCAGGATAAAGAAAGGTACCCAATTTAATTATATTAGCAGGTCGTATTTAGTCCAACTGAATCAAACGGTATAAAATTTCAACAGTACCTATATGGTACTGTGCCAGTGGACTGATCATATCTTACTATTTTGTGCAGATAACAATGTCTTACTAATCGGTATCGATCCCAGTTTTATGGAGAGACAATGCCCCACTAATTTTCATATACAACTTCAAACTGACGTAAAAGTCTGGCACTGTGAATCCAAAGTGCATAGGAAATATTTGCCTGTTATTCAGACAAACACCCGGTTTAAGCACTTTTGTAGATGCCAAATAAATTTAGGCAGCATTATTTTACATGTTATCATTACCATTATCATTATATTGTTTAGTATTTTCTCTCGCTGCCGGAATAAATATGTGTACGAATCTTGTCTCTGTTTATTTAAGATACAAGTAATTATCTAGGAATCCATCGAAAGTTGATTTCTATATCCACGTGAAAATTCAAAAAGAAATGATTTGGTGACCGATGTTTTTTTAAACACATGTACTACATAAATTAGTGATACTAACAGGATCTGCGAAATAGCTATTTTTGTTTACAGACCGAAAACTGTTTCATCCCTAACAACTAACATTCTTCAGAATAGTATTACGATATTTTTTACTTGAACTACCAACAAAATCGTTAAGTCTAATGACAATAATAATATGTTATATACTGGTCAAGTAATTAATAGTCCTGACGCAAGGAAGACGGAAATCAGAAAACCACCAGGTTCACGATGATACTTGTATTTTTCAAACAAGGAAAATCAATGTCACACAAGTGTATGAGCGAATGTTCAAAAGCGAACGAATCAATAGACAGTCTTAACATGATTGTTAATTATAATGGAATATCGATCCATATATACACAGCAAAATATAACAGACCGTCAAAACAAACGCACATTATGTGGGTACATATCACTTCCCCTTTCGAGAAGATAGATGATTAGTAGCGTGTTTTCTTGAGGGGTTATCTAGAACCGTTGAACTTGTTGTTGACGTCTGTCTGTTGGGTTTGCGGCTTCGGCTTCGTCCGGAATTGTCTGACATTTTGTGTTTCCTGGCTGCATTGCATAGAGAATTTAGTGGGACATCAGATAGATGCAAACGATCGAACCAATCAAGTCCCAAAAGATTTAAATCACTCTTGGTGACGTAGCGAATTCCTGTGAATTTAATGTTACGGAATGAAACAGAACATTTGAGTTCATTTAGTTTGGGGCGCCCACCACAGGCGCTGAGAAGAGTCTGAGAAGTATTTCTGATTGGTGGTCTGCCAATATCATTCCAAAGTTTCTCTGATATAACAGTAATATCAGAGGCGGTATCTAGCTGCAGACGTGCATCATGACCATTCATCTGAAGGTTAATATATTTCCGCATAGCTGGTGTTGTGACTTGACAGGTCGCGCGTAGACTCAATGATCGTTTTGGAGATTTGGGACCAACATTTTGTTGAGCTTTTGCTGGATTTTGACACCTGGGTTTGCGTGGCTGACAGAAACTATTTTTATGACCGATGATTTTGCACTTGCTGCAACGATGATTTTTGTACGGACAAGACTTTACAAAGTGCCACGCACCACAATGCCAGCAAGATGATGGTGGGGTCTTCTTTGCAGTAATTTGAGAAGTTGGACGAGTATGTATAGATTTCCGCGGGACATTAAGAGAAGGTGGGTCAGGAGTAGCTGATGAGAGATTTTTGCTCTTTCGTAATGCATGAATATCAGAGCTTCTCGAAGGTGTTGATTCGACCAGGTGTGTGTCTTTCTGCAAATTAATCAGCCGTTGATATTCATCAGCTATGTCATGTAATGTTAACTTAGGATTTTGTTCTAGCTGATTGAGCAGTCGAGTTCGGATATCTGTGAAACGAGGAGATTGAAGACTGCATATGAGAATCAAGGCTTTGAATTGATCATCTGTTAAGGACCTGAGTCGAAATCTCTCACATTCTCGGTTGACTGTGCCAACGTGAGTAAGAAAATCATCATTTTCATTCATTGTCAGCTTGAGGCATCGATAACGTATGCTGAATAATGAGGAGTGGTCTCCAAAATGTTCACGCAGCAGCTTTATTGTATCATCGAAACACTTGTCACGTGGTTTCTGTGGTAAAATTAGGTTGCAGTACCGTTCATATTCTGCAGGACTCAATTCACGTAATAACACTCGCACCTTCCAAGCATCGTCTTGAGAGGCGAGATCGACTGTGAATAAATCCTCATATCGTTGATACCATGTGTCAAAAGTGACATTAGCATCTGGATCATAATTGAACTGTGAAATACTATTCACAATGTCGTCGACAGATGGTAGCATGGTATGATTGGGATTGCTTGAAGGTGAAGCTGGACCAGTCTGTTGGTTGACGAACATTTCCATTAATTTCATTTGTTGTTCAAATAGTAATTCTGATTTAGAAGGATCCATAGTTTTCCCCGTCGCCAAATTATTGTTATATACTGGTCAAGTAATTAATAGTCCTGACGCAAGGAAGGCGGAAATCAGAAAACCACCAGGTTCACGATGATACTTGTATTTTTCAAACAAGGAAAATCAATGTCACACAAGTGTATGAGCGAATGTTCAAAAGCGAAAGAATCAATAGACAGTCTTAACATGATTGTTAATTATAATGGAATATCGATCCATATATACACAGCAAAATATAACAGACCGTCAAAACAAACGCACACTATGTGGATACATATCATAATTCATCCTCAGTTTGTTTACCTGACGGACGCCAGTTAACAGGCACCATGAATATTATAAGACATTTATATATAATGCAATCATTTTTACAATTTTTCTACTATACAAAGTATATATACATAGAAATTTAATGGAATGGTGACAGTAATCACACTTTACATAAGTTAAAACAGTTCGCATGACGTAATCCCAGGCACCATCTTTGTTAGAATTTGAATGACTCAACCTCAGCTTTCACAATTTGTCGACTCTCGCATCTTACCTATTCTACTTTACTGCTCTGCATTAGTCTTTACTGGGTTGCTGAAAAAGGACTATACTATCCTGAGAAGGATGTTGAAGTATGTTAGTAGGACTAGTGGTGTAAACCTCAGTCAGCTCGTCGCTACATGGGTAGAAAGGCATCTGAATACATGTGAAAAGTGGTCTTAAACCACACTCTTTGACCCCCAACACCCCCTCTATTCCCAACTCTCCTTGCATCTCATCAGGTAGAACCAGAATTCAGTATAAAATAATATATGCTCGTACAACCAAGTACAGGAACTCAACGATACCATATTTGGCCAGCCCGCGCTCTAGGTGACAGGGACAATGTTAAGCACGAAACCTATGACTTGCTTTGTTGTTAAATAACATAATTTTGGCCCTTGTTATTTCCCCTTATACTCTTTTATTTGTATTCTATAGTGAACAACCTTCTTAAACATACTTGGCCACCTAAAATTATTATCATTGGGTTACTTTTTTATTCTTTATTCTATTCCTTCTTTTGTGTATCTACTGGTCCCGACTATATTATCACTATGAGTATCACAAAATTGTCCTGTCATTAACCATCATGTAATAATAGTTTTGTGGTTGTTTTTTGTTCGGCAATATTAACTGGCAATCTTGTTTGTGAACTCCGTTATCACCATCCTAAAATTTTTGTATTATGCATGATTACTCACACTAGCACTGCTAACACCACATTAGTGCTGACAATAAAAACCCTGAAATATTAATTTTATGATTGTTTAGTGTAGTTCAATCGAATTAACTGATCATCCTGGCTACAAACATTCCTAATTACA